TCTACAAGAATATTTCAGGATGTGAGACGTATCACAAAATAGTCTAATACACTAGATCATTTGGAAAGGGTGCTTGATTCACCTTAGTCCTTTTCAAAATTTTGTTAGTGAAATTAATTAGGCATCATGTCTTGATGGTTGGTTTGATAATTATACATTAATTAAATAAATTTATTCCAACAATTTAACATGATTTGTTGCGTTGCCTGCAATAAGCGTAAAATTAACTTTCGCTGTATTATTTATATAAGGATATATAATAATATGCATACATTATTTTTTCAATGTGACGTACCCATGAAATTTTCAAAGCATATCAACTTTGTTTTCGTGTTTTTCGCACTACCCTTGAAAACGACGTTGTAAATTGGGATGTGTTTTCCATTTCAATTTGTCTTGATTGTTCTGGAGATAGAAAAGTTGGAACCCCTTCAGTGGTGCACACCAAGCTTTGTCCAAGAGCGGTAACACCAAAAAGAACAACACTGTGGATACAAGTGTCATGCTGATAAGCTTGGCACCAATAATTGCAGGCCACGGCCTATGAAATTATCACAGATTCATCTTGTGGAGAGGGAGACGAAACAATTTATATAATACATTAAAGGCCTCTATCTCTCCCTCAAACTCTAACTCGTAATAAAGTTGACAAGTTGTTTCTGTCATGACTTGATCGAGTGCTCAGATCGTACGTTTATCTCTCTGCTACTGAATGTTGAAGATAAGTATTGAAGACTGTGGGATGGAGACGGGAGGGGGGAAATAAAGGTGGTATTCTCTCCATATATATAAATGGAAGATGAATTCGTTTTACACTTTGGTTTTATCTTTTTTGACCATTATATATAAAGTATAAAGCAAACCCCACTTGAAGCTGCTTCCGATACGTGCCCAACAATGCCAACCTCATCCCTGAGCCTTTATTTATGTATCCACTATCTCGTTTTCACATCTCTTGAGAGAGTGATGATTCTGATAAGATCAAATAGGGACTTCCCTCATCATTGTCTCATGCAGCATCTCCTCTTCTTCGCGTTTTCATTCCACTCATCGCCCACTTTGTTGTAGGAATGGGAGAATTATAGCTGAGAAAAAGTATGAGCACTAACGTGGTATATATCACAACTTATGATAGAAAGGAGGTTAAAACTTTAAACACATATTTGGTTGAAAATAACCCCGAAACATTAACTATTTTCGTAATACTACTTCCGGACATTCATACAAGACTTAGTTTGATATTTAATTTGACCCTAAATATAAGACTCTAAATTCAATTTGTTTTTCATATTTATTTATTTTTTTCTAAGATGGTCTCAGCAAAAACTGCACATGTTAAAAATTTCATCAAATAGTAATTCTGGCTCATACATATGAGTAGCAAGAATGTTTTAAAGAAGACAATATCTATTTATTATAAATAACTAACCTAATTAATTTTCTTAATTTATTCAAATTAGTCAACTAACTCTTATATTAAGGACTGATAATAGTACTACGAAACTCAGTAAATGTGGGTTCATGGGTAGATCTAACATAATAGCAATTAAATTTTGCAGCGCTGTGAGAGTCAGTCACCCATGGTGGTGGGAACTAAGTAAGCCCCATGGAACGCACGTGATTCCTTCACCACCATTAGGTTCATGTCTGTTTGGTATTGTAGCTCTCGTGAAGCCTGTAAACTTTGGTCCTTAATTATCTCACCACAGGTCATGTGACAATATATATGAAATGAACTCCATGATAAAAGTAAATGTATGTAAGCCAGAAATATAAGATTAGAATACAAACAGTACTTAAAAAAAAAAAAAAGAATACAAACAGTGATTGAAGGATTTTCTGGTTGGAAGTCATGGTTGAGTCCATTGGAGTGACCTTTCTTAGCAGTCTCGGATAAGTTAGTTAAAACTTAAAAGAAATAAGGTATATATGAACTCGTTCGTCGATCCACTAAGAATCGAGCGGTAGTCATTAAATTGGGTCATGGATGTTTTTGAGAGGTCGCGAGTCAGATCCAATATATAAAATTTGTCAGTCAAGTTAGCAATTAACTAAGAAAAAATTACAAATAAAAACCCCTAAATATGTAAAATTATGATTTAGGACACTGAATTTGAAAAATAACAAATAAGAATCCGGTTCTACTTTTGTAAATATGAAATATGGGTAAAATGTCTTAAATGCCTCTCAGTTAAATTGTAATTTGGTTTACTGAAGTTGTCATTTGTTAAAGTAAACTTATTATTTCCCATAGTCGACTCGTTACTTGGTATACCCTCGACTAAGTTGTGATTTGATCTACTAAAGTTATCATTCGTCAAGATAAAATTATTATTTCTCATAGTCAACTTGTCATTTGGCTGAGAGGCATTTCAGACATTTCAAAACATTTTATATTTGCAAAAGTAAGACTGGGTCTTTATTTGCTATTTTCTAAATTCAAGGTCCCAGATTGCAATTTTATATATTTGGGGCTCTTCATTTGTAATTTTTCCATTACTAATTCTATCCCCACCATATATATGGTGGGGACCAAGTAAGCCCACGACCTCATGGTATACACAATTCTATCCCCACCATTTGGTTCAAGTCTGTTGTGTATGGCACCTCGTGAGGCCAATAAATTCACGATGATAAACGTCAATGTTGTAAGCTTGAAGCAGATATGGGGCAGTATTCATCCCTTTGCGCAACAAACTCTAATTGTTTTAAGTCAATAAAGGGCTCCAGATCATGGTTGACAAATAATGATTGATGATAATAATAAGGCGATCAAATGAAATGGAAGAGTTAAACTTGCCTAACAAAATACGCTCTACTTGAGTAGCATTTCGTTACTCCGTCATCACCAATGAATTTTGTAGTGAGTTCACAGTGAATCCAAATGCCCACCTTGCTTTCTTCATCATATTTGATCAAATGAAAAAAGCCAGACGTTGATGGGGTTTGGTCGAGAATTTAGAGAGCTCGGATTTAAAAATCTTTAATGCGGGGGAAGGCTCCTTCCCGGGTTCACTGCGAAAGATCCAAGATCATTTACTTCCATATGCCCCTGAGTTTTGCAGAATTTTCTTAATTCCAGAGACAGTTGGGTTCTATTTCAGACGCTAAAAAATGTTTCCCAAGGTGACACCTTTAGAACCCGAGTTGGCGAAGGATTGTTGAATCTACTTGTGTACATGTCAGAAGAAGTTTCTGAGATCAGGGAGCTGTTTACTAACAAGGATCTTGACGAGGATCTGAATATTCCAAGCGCTTGCAACAGAGCACTTGCGGGCAGTCTTGGAAGTTTAGTTATTTCAGTGAAGAGGATGCAGACGTTCCTTTTATAATTTCTTGTTACCGTTTATTCGACGATTGCAAGAAGTGAATATAAAATTTTGTCCTATGCATTCCTGAAATGGTTTCAACTCTTGTTATTGTTTGTGGCAGTGTATTGGAGATCCGACACATCAGGTAATGCAGTCCGTAAAGAGAAAAGAAGTCAAAAAATCGATTCATGGACGTCCCTTGCTGAGATGAATCAATGTTCATGTTGTGAGCTCCATGCTTTTTGTCTCTCGCATTTGACCTTACACAGATGTTGTAGCCAAGCATGCCGCGCTGCAGCGAATTTCTCAGGAAATCTTCCCATATTTTTGCTTACATTCTGAAGGAGAAAGTCACACACACACATATAGTTTTCGCTTGCTTTGCTACTGATAAATATTATATACTTGTATTACTTTTTATACGAAAGCACATGCTGTTTGGGTGGTGGGATAGGCTGAAGTTTGAGTTAAAAGTCACTAGTTTAACAGGCCGTTCATGATACTAGAATTCAAGCATGGTTGATCGATAAATAATGCCACTGGAAATAGAGGCCAATAAACTAGCACAGTTGCATGCAAACGTTGGCCCTCATGAATTAGATGGTGCTTATTGTTAATCGGCTTTTTGATGGGTTAGTGTTTTGCACATTTGAGAGCAAAAATCCGACAGGCTGTTGAACAGGCTAATATCCCTAGCTGAAATTTATATACAGCACAGATTTGGAGTCTTGTCTTGAAAATCTAGTCATTGGAATAGAAATAGACATAACCTGTTTACCAAATGACCAAGGTCCAGAAAACTACAGAAAACAGAAGCAGAGCAGCTATATCAGTTGGAGAGCTAGGGTTTGGCCTCCAAAGGTCTCTTCTATTTTTTCATCCAACGCACTAGACTGGATTTGACTCTTCTAAGCCATCTTTTCTTATTCTCCTCCGTCAATCACACTTAGGCAATTTCTGAAGAGTGTGGGCCTAGAGTCAAGTACAGTAATCATCAAATCGTTGAAAGATAAAAAAAGTCGCCGAAGTATAGAGAAGGTACTACAATCCAGCGTCAACTTGCCACTAGTCTATTTGTTAGGCTCCTATTTCTGAGTTCTAACTCATAAGGTTATTTTTTTTCCTAGTATACTCGTACACGTGTATCCTTTAGGAGGAAGCAAGATGTGCTTTGCTTCCTAACTTCCCTCTAATCACGCCTGATTATTGTTTTGCATTCCCCTTAAAATCATTTTATTGCCGTGGAAGAGTAAAATGGAAGAGTCAACGAGAGAGGCCAGATTCCTGCTGACCCAGTGGCACAAGTAATTTCGTTGGCAGATTACCATCTTCATGCACACTTCATCTTTCAGTTAATTGTTCATAATTTATGATAGAACAAGTATTATTCCACCTGCACATGGAACAAGACGTCAATATTGACTTAGATTAACAGAGGATTTAGCTTTAACTATGCTAATAATGAGAGGGTGAAGGATTTGACCAGCATCTAGAGTTTCCGTGATGCTCAAGAGACTCTGACGGGACTCAAATTTTCCCAGTTGAACACATGCATGCTCTCTCAATTTCCGCTGTGAGTCTCTCTTTCCATCCAAAGCGAAATTGGTGGTTTTAAATCCTAATACAAATAGGCCATTTTGTCCCATCTTGTTTAAACGCCTTCTGGTTCTTCCTATCACTCCTTTCATGATGGGAAATGAACTGAAGAACCCTCCATTAGTCGCCCAGCTTTTAGGCTCCAAGTTAACGTTTATCCATCTTCTTCGTTTTTTTTTCTTTGTAATAGGATTGTCATTAGGTGTCACAGTCAGTGTTTACTACAAAAGCTTCTCATTCAACCTACAAGAACTTTGCCTTTCGTCACCACCAAGGCTGCTGGAACCGCCACCGCCGCAGCCGTGGATTCAGCCAAGTGTGAGTGGATCTGCATTATATACCCAGCAGCCTCTCATGCACAGTATGGATGATGAAGAGTTGTTCTGGCGAGCTCTAATGGTTCCTAGAAGGAAGAAATTCCAGGGTGAGCATGCTCCTAAGATTGCTTTCATGTTCCTGACCAAGGGACCTCTTCATCTTTCCCCCTTGTGGGAGACGTTCTTCCAAGGACACCAAGGGCTCTACACCATATATGTTCATACTCATCCTCTGTTCAATTGGACAGTGCCTGTGGATTCTGTCTTCTACAGAACAAGAATTCCAAGCAAGGCAAGTTCCAACTCTTGCTCTTCACCTAGACAAAACATCTCCTTAAATATAAATTATGAAGACATAGCCAGAACCTACTTCAAACTTGTTCCTAATATTTCTTTTCGCGTTGATTACAGACAGTAAAATGGGGACAAGCTTCGATGATAGATGCAGAGAGACGCCTCTTAGCCAACGCTCTTCTTGACTTCTACAACGAGAGATTTGTGTTACTTTCAGAGACCTGCATTCCTCTATTCAACTTCACCACAATATACAACTTCTTAGTTAACGCGAATCAGGGCTTCGTAGCCTCGTATGATGATCCAAGAACAACTGGGCGAGGCAGATACAATCCAAAGATGGCACCCACAATAACAATTTCTGATTGGCGTAAAGGGTCCCAGTGGTTCGAGATGAATAGAAAAATGGCCATTGAGACAGTATCTGACACCAGCTACTATCCCATTTTCAATGAGCTGTGTCGTCCTCCATGTTATTCTGATGAGCATTATATCCCTACGTTGATCAGTAAGTGTTGCTCACTTGAGAACTCGAACAGATCCATCACTTGGGTCGATTGGTCCAAGGCTGGGCCACACCCTGGGAGATTTGGAAGAGCCTCGATCTCACTTGAGTTCCTGAACGATATAAGGTTTAACTGCACTGCTCCTCATAGACTCAATTCCAGTAATGCTTCTTCCACCTCTATGTGCTTTCTTTTTGGTAGGAAGTTTATGTCAGATGCTCTTCGTCCTTTGCTGCAGATTGCACCTATTCTTCTCGGCCTTAATTCTTCACAATTCTGAACATGGTTGGTATGAGTGATCCATGTTATTAATTGAATTTGCAGGTTGTACTTGTTGCCCCTGTGCTCTGAGATTGATTAAGATTTATTTGTATATTTGAGAGAATAAGATCAACACTGTCATTTAATGCAAATTGAACAAGATTTTGCAAATTCGTTTGTGTTTTGTTTGGCTCAGGTTCCTCAAATTGGCATGATCATTTTGTACATCATTGGCCTTTGTGTCGTTCACTCGTTGTGATTTTTGGCCCTTTGACACCATTTGATGTGATAGGCTGCCCCTTTTTCAGACTGTCCCGTAGAATCTTGGAACATGGCATAACGATGATTTTCATATGATTTTTAAAATTAAATGTTGGGACCTTTTTCTTGACAATCAAATTACCCATACGAAAACAATTATGTAAACCAAGTTGATGAATGAACAAATTAAAGTCTAATTTTGCCTCGGGACCCTTTTTTTCCTTTCAAAAGACACACTGGGCACCCTAAAGTTAAAAGAGGGTACAACGTTGCCTCTCATGTAGTCAAATAGTTAGTTAATTGAGAAAATTACAAATCCTGGCCCATAGTTTACAAGTCAACTTTTGAGATTTACGACAAGTTTGCCAAAAGTAACAGACATGGTTAAAACTATTAATTCCTCCCCCTCATACTCTTTCTTACAGCGGGAAGAAAACCCAGTGAAGGGGGATTTGGATTTGAATGTGAGGATTGGCGTGATGATAAGGTGTTAGTGAATTGGGTTTTGGTTTTGATGACCATGGTCCAGGCATGAATAATTCATGCTATGGTTAAGAAGGGGAATGATAACAACTGCCACCTTCAATTATTAATATAAAACCCATTTGAATTTTATTTTTTGTTAAAGACCCAGTTGACTAATTTAAAAAGATTAAAAAAATTACTAAATTACTTAATTAGAGTATATATTACATGATCACTCTAAAATATTTATATGTATCAATAGATTATATATTAATTTATGAGTGAAGCAAATTAGTTTGGATAAAAATGATAAATATAAATATTTTAAAATAATTTAATAACTTTATTAATCTCTCCAAATTAGTCAATATAATGCTATATTAAAAATAGAAGGTAGTATAATATAATTAACAACATTATTGAATCGATCACAGCATCTGTGTGTCTCTACTGTCTCCTATGTTTCTGCTTCACGTAACCTTTCTTTCTCTTTCCTCCCCCTGTGCTCTAATTCATTATTCCCTTCTGCTTTATAAATAAATTAACATTATGTTCTCGATTTAGATTTGACTAAGCATAATTAAGTCTCTGTTGGCAAAATAAAAAAAGAGTCTCAGACAATAAACCGTGTTATTCATCATTTATATCTAATAAATAGATTTTATTAACATTAGATGTAGTAGTGTTGATACTATTCCTTTGCAGAAAACTACCTATCCTACACCAAATGTCAAATAATTTACTCAAATCTTTGGTTCTCTATGATAACAGCGCTGTCATTTTTCCTCCACTGTAAAAAAAAAACATGGTTAAATTGATAAACAATAAATTAAATTAAGTGCTTTCTGAACCGACTAATTTACTTAAAAGCACATTTATTACCGTGTTGGCAGAAATATTGCACATTTATTACATTTTTAGCAAATAAGTAAATAATTAAAAGAAAAGGAGGGGGGTGAAAATCTCAAAATGCATATATGATTATATTCCTTGTTCCAGTTCTTCCTAGATAAAATATATTTTTTGCTTCTCAATTTGGGAAATGTCAAATTCAATTTTTTTTCATGATACATGCATGTTAATTGTTTACCTCTTAACCCTTTAAAATATTAACTTTAGTGGACTACTAATTTTTTAAATGACTTCTCATTGCATTATTAGTACATGTTTCAAAGACTAGTAAATAAAAAATTAAAAAAAAAATAGTGCATTAAAATTAGAATAAAAAACTCTTTTATACCAAAAGAAATTAGAATAGGAAAAATATGATAAGGCTATTAGGCTAGCCCATTTAGGGAGGCCCATACCCATAAAATCATGGTCTACTGGGAAACAAGCCAGCCGACTCATCTCGTGCTTTTTCTTGGCGCGTGATGATCCAAGCCGTTTGCTCCGGATGGACTCCCCTGCGGCCAAGATGATTACTGTCAGTTCTTATTATGGCAATCAAATAACTCATTTATAAACCAATAAATATTGATCCAAGTAAAAAGAACATAGGCATCTTAAAAATTATGTCTTTGGTTCAATTTTTGGAGCAATGTGTATGAAAAAAAATACTGTTGGTACGAGTCGCCGCTACGGCCTTTGACAGTATCCCGAAAAATTAGTCTCTTACTATTCGAATGGGAGAATACTCTAGGCAACAAAAAATCATTTATAAATAATAAATAATTATTTAAAATTAGTTAAAATAATAAATAGATTAGAAATATACTTTTATTTGCAAATATCCCTTACAATAAATGAGAAAAAATAAAAAAGAATATGTGAGAAAATGTGATAGGAGAAAAATAATTAAGGACAATATTGATAAAAATATATTATATGTTAAGATAAATTCAAATTGAAGCTTATAAAACGAATCATATATCTTTTTAAACTTAAAACTTATAAATAAGACCAGTATGTGATTTTATGATCGAACTTTATCCATAAAGTTAAAATTTTGTGTCCATGAAAAGTTGCGCCTCATGTGGGAGCACTTGACGAGTAGATCCCACGTCTTGTTTTTTATTATTCCGTGGGGAGTTGCTTTATGTATTGCCTGACATAAAATGTGTCATGCTTGGATGAAGTCTTAGGTTTGAATATGGCGATAAAAAGAAAAATTAATTTAATTTTTTCAAGTCAATACCTTCATTTAAAATATTTCAAATACATACTATTTTCGGTTCTAATTATAAGAGCCAGTTGACTAATTTGAGGAGATTAAGAAAATAAGTTGAGTTAGTTATTTGTCATAAATAGGTGTTGTTTTTCCTAAAATATCCTTACTAATTAAGTGTATTGACTAGAACTATCATTGTTAGAGGGGTTACTTTGGAAAAAAATGTATAAATATAAGAGACAAAATGAATTTGGGTCTTATATTTAGAACCAAAATAAAAGTCAGACATGGTCTTATATTAAGGACCGGAGGTAGTATAACTTATGCTAGAACTTATTTATAGGGTGGTATATTCTAATCTTAATTAAAATATTATTATAATCTTAATGATAAAATAAACTTCATTAAACGTTCAAATTAAAAGACATATCTAAATAAAAAGGTAAATCTGAATAACATAAAAATTAAAATTCTTTCTCAAAATTCCAATTTAAAATCTTAAAGTAAATGAATTCTCAAAAAAAAGAAAAAAGATATCGTACTCTAAATAAAATACAGAACTCTAATTATACTAGGATGATCATAATAATGACTTAATTATTGTTGTTTATATAACGCCATCCCACGCAAGCACAACACATACCAATCGTCGTCCTTTGGCCTCCCTTCGCGTCTCTGTAAGTTCTTGTCTTTCTTCTCCTTCTGCCTGTTCCGATGAAGCCTGAGCGTTTCTCTGCATCATCATTTCTGAAAGTTATCAATATTCTTCACTTGCATTATCTCCTTACTCTTTTCTCTCTCTTTCTCGTCGTTGCCTCTGGTTTACTCATCGGAATCGCTCTCTCTTTGCACCTCAAAGACCTCTCTCTCAACTTTCAAATCCAACAGTTCTTTACCCCATCCATTGGATTAAAACAATTGTCACCGTACTCGCCTCCAAATCCAACAGTCTCGACCATCATTAATATTTCTTCCTCAAATCGGACAAAGACAGAACCTTTGACGACGTCGTTAGATGTTCATGATCGTCAGAATCAGACAAAAACAGTAACCTTAACCCGAAAAGGTCTGAAAGATTTCTTGAAACCTCCGGAGGCAATGCATGGTATGAGCGAAGAAGAGCTGTTTTGGAGAGCTTCTGTGGCTCCAATGGTTGAGGAAGCTCCATTCGATCAGACACCAAAAGTTGCATTCATGTTTCTGACGAAAGGTCCTCTTGCGATGGCTCCTTTTTGGGAGAAATTCTTCAAAGGAGTCGATAAAGACTTGTATTCTATATATGTACATTACCCTCCATCTTTCAATCAAACACTTCCAGAAACTTCAGTCTTCCATGGCCGGGCAATACCAAGCAAGGTAATTAGTATGTTTAATTTATATTTATTTGATTGGCATATATATACATTTCCTGTGTACTGTTTTTGTTTTTCTTTTTTGCGTTCATTGAATGTCCGCAACTGTGGGCTTTTTTTAAAAAAAAAAGCTAGAAATTAAGCTCCAGTGCTAAGTCGTTAATTAGATTGTAATATTGGATCGCAAGCATCATAATTCATAACATAGGACTAGCTTTTCTTTTCTGATGTTATACTCAAAGTGTGATAATTATTAAGTGATTATATTCTCCAAACAAAGAGATTTTGAGGAGGGATATTTTTGGGATGTTACCATTAATTTGTCAATGTGATCGACGTTCGTTAACTTTAGGGGGTAATTCAGAGCGCATTAGACAGTGTTCACAAATTAAAGAAACAGATTGATTTTTAGATCGATCTATCTGTATCTGTCAAAAACACGTTACGCCGCATGATGAAACACCTAGTTTAACATATGTACAATAGAAATGGGCTTTGACAAAGGTCGATTTTGTGTGATTTGACTGACCATGTCGTGTAGGTTTCAAAGAGCTAGTACGCGCTATTATTAGTATGGACGTGAGCAGCTGATTCTAGCTATATTCCCAAATTATAATTTGTACACAATGTAAAGACAATACCGCCGCTACAACCAATATTGATATTACAATTGCATATCAATGGTTGTCTTTTACGATTTGTCCCTTTTCATGCATCTCTGATCTGATTCTATTATAACGAATTTGCTTTGACTTTCCATTTAAGATTGATCATCACCGACTATTTTATATATATTCGTTATTCACATGCTTCTCTCCTCTTGTATGCTCTTTTCTGGAATTCTGCTTATGAAATATATATATATATATATATATATGTGCTTATATATTAAACATTATATTTCGCTTCCAGCTCTTGTTAATTACCCAAAAAAGGGGAAAAAGTTTGCCGAGTCAGTTAAGCTCTGTCTATATAAACCTGTCTGGAATAGAGAATTGCTTGTGAAATAGGGTTTTGATGTGTGCACACTTATATAAATGTTATATTGCCAAAGCCTGCAATTGAGCATTTCTAATATATAAATATATATATATATGTATAATTATTTTTTATATTAATCTTATTTGTCTATATGTTATATGCATAGGTTAAGGTCAAATTTCTCAGCTTGTTAACATGAGCACCATATTTGAAAGTAATTAATTAGTTAATAACATGGAGATCAAAAGCAATAGTTCATTTAATATGTATGCTTGTCAAGGGGTGCTTGAAAAAGGGTTAAAATGGAACTGTACTATTCATCCAACCTAATACGTATGGAATGTTCGCAACCAAACATAAATTATCGTATTTTCGTGTCTTGTAATTTAAGGTTGCCTGGCAATCAATATATTTCGGTTGCATACTTTTCTTTGATTCCACTCCTTTTCCAAGCCCAAGACAGAATCCGGTTCCTTCCCCTTCCAAAGCCTACTTTTCCACATTCTCTCCTTCAACTATTTCTCAATTCCTTCCTTCCCTCCGACATTGTCTCTAACATGCATCAACCAATCTATGTTAAACAAAAACATATATATTTTCTTTTTTTTGACCCTTGCATTTTTGGGTTCTGAACATGCAGATAGTGAGGTGGGGCGATATGAACATGATAGAGGCAGAGAGACGCCTACTGGCCAAGGCACTGCTGGACTTCTCAAACCAAAGATTCGTTCTCCTCTCAGAATCATGCATTCCACTGTTCAACTTCTCCACCATCTACAACTACCTTGTCAACTCCTCAGAAAACTTCGTGGAAGCCTACGACATGCCAGGTCCTGTCGGCCGTGGACGCTACCGTCCCAAGATGAAGCCGCAAATCAAGTTAAGCCAATGGAGGAAGGGCTCTCAGTGGTTCCAAATAGAGCGAGCCCTAGCCCTCGAGATAGTCTCAGACCAGACATACTTCCCAGTGTTCAAGAAGCACTGTAAGGGCTCCTGTTATGGTGATGAACACTACCTGCCTACGTTGGTGAGCATCATGTTCTGGGAGAACAACTCCAACAGGACACTGACCTGGGTTGACTGGTCAAAGGGTGGGCCCCACCCTGCGAGGTTTACGAGGATGGATATAACAAACGAGTTCTTGGAGAGGATGAGACATGGGAGTGTTTGTGAGTATAATGGGAAGAAGACGGATGTGTGCCATTTGTTTGCGAGGAAATTTACGCCTCACGCTTTGGATAGATTACTTAGGTTTGCTCCCAAGTTGATGCAATTCGCTTGACTTTTTTTTTTTTTTGGTTAGCCTCTAATGTATAATTCTCCTTTTGATTTGTCAGTCATTTATCCTGTGATAATGTACAAAACTCCGAGCCACACATTTTGTTACAGAAATTAATTAATTTTAGAGTAATTTTTTTGTTTGTTGATTTTTTTTAAGTAATCAAACATTGAGCACCAGAAGCCTAGAAAAACGAAGCCCAATATGATTTGTTTTTTAACTTATTTGGATAGCATAAAAATTGGTTTTTAAAAGAACTTTTCTGAAAATTAAAATAAAATATTTTATGTATTTATTTTGTATATAATAAAATTATTTTTTAAATTATGATTTGGTTTCTATCCAAATATCTCTTAAGAGGTTCCGGGCACAGAGCCCTCCCACGGATAGAAATGAACGAGCTTGCTTTGGGCTGTTGCTTAAAAAACGGAACTGATCGGTTTGTCTTTTGATGGGGCTGACATTAGTTGGGCTTGTTGACTCTATTTACCCTCAATTCTATCGCAATGAGCCCCAAAAAGTGAATTTATAATACAGATAAATTTGATTGATCATCAATTTCAAAGCATGAATTTATAATAAATGACAATTATAACATACGTAATTCATCAAAAACAATATCAATATATGCTAGAAAACCTATTGTAAAGATTCTTAAGCCATAAATAATGTGCCAAATCTCAAACTCCATGTAAAATTCGGTACCCCACAGTGTAAGTCGATTATATAGAGAGAGATGCGCACACAAATATATAACTTTTACATAAAATTACATTATTATAATTTATATGATAATATTCATAACCATTTTCTTTAGGGGAAAAAAAAGACCAATGATCTAGGTCGTGGCTCCGCCACTAAGTAATACTCTAATAGTATGCTTTTTGATTGAGTATGGAGTGTTCTCTGGAACCGTCGGTTGCATCATAAAACTATACTATCTATAAACATGCATGATGCAGCTTATTTTAAGATAATTTATTGAACAAACATATATCTTGAAGGCTTGAATGAAATAATAATAAAAATAATTGTCAATGCATGAAATTATTAAGACATTGAAAATTGACCAGCGGTAGGACTACCTAGAAAAATGTTTCGTGTTCTAGAAAATGAATCACAATGATGTGCCCATTAATTCAATAAAACCTTCTAAAGGCCTTCAATGTCAAGAAACATATTAAAATGTAAAACGCTGCCAAGCCACTTTCAATCAACATCTAAAATAATTTATCATCGTGACAGCTCAGGTTTGTGTTATTGTCAATGACGTTGCCGGTTTCACTGACTAGGAACTCCACATAATGAAAATTGAATTCTGTATGAGACTCAGATTTTCAATCTAACTTTCCCCGGCCGGAATCAATTTATCTTTGAATGTTCGACATTGAGAATGTTATCTTAAAAGAGGGGCTTTATAAGATTTTGAATTTTTTACTTCCGATAACTAGCTCTTAAGACATGATTCTTCTGAAAACTTGTACTTGTTACAATGATGTTTTCATTGAGATTTAACCAATCAAAATACTATAATAGATCTCGTCCTACTCTTTGGAGTATATCATGAAGACCAGTAGACATTGTTACTGTTGCAAGCTTTATTAAAGAAAAACCTAGACATCTAAAAATACCTTTTATTCAGTATTAACCCCAGTTAAGTGAGAATTAATGAAGGGTATTTTTGAAACAAGATTATTGATAAATTATTGTTTTCTCCAAAATATTTTATATTATAAAATATGAAATCACTGCAGAAACGTTTTGTAAATGAAAATAAAAAAAATATTTAGTATTTTCATTTCCCACTGTCCTGTTATCTTAGGTATTATGGTTAGAGGTACAATGTAGATCTTTTAATCAATTTAGAATTTCCAGCTTTTATCATTGTAACACATGAAGTGGATGCTTACGTAATACAATCTATCTATGATGGTGTAAGCTAGGATTATTAGTTGGTAAAAAAAAGTAAGGTACAATTATTAAATATAATTTTGATTTGTTAGGGGTTTAACTTTAAGAATCAGAACTCCGTTGAGTTTTCGATTTTCATTGTTTTACATAATAATCATTTCAAAATGGATTTTTTTCTGAGAAATTTTTAGTCAAATTGGAAGTGCTTTCTTTATTTATTTTTGCCAGAGTGCTTCCTTCGTTATTTGCAAACAATAAAGGAAAAAAGAGGATAAAATATCCTAGAAATTATTAAAGAATAAACCAGTGCATGTGAATTTCAAAATTCTAATTCAGATCCTGTATCATTTTAGAATTTTCAAATATTGTAAAATCCTATAAATGCTTTTTACTATTTTTTTTCTTTTTTATTTTATTTTAAATATTGCCACCTCAGCACTTTTGGTAGTTGGAGCTTCTATGCCGGTGACCCTAACGGCGGCTAGCCATTGAAGCTCTAGCCACATGTCACCAGAACTTCGATGACTAGTCGCCAGAGCTCCGATGACTACTTTTTCTTATGTGTTGACTCTTTTTTTTTAAATATTGACTACAATTATTTTTAAAACTCCGATGATTACTCTTATTTAGCTATTGACTACTCTAATATGACAATTGACTACTTTTATTTTTAAAATTTTGGTGACTACTCTTATTTAACAATTAGATACTTTAATTTTGCTATTGACTACCTTTGATTTAAAAATTCAAAAAATATATTAAGTGTTGTTGGAGATCTCGTCTAATCAATAGCTATATAAAAGTAGTTGTCAAAACTTTGAAAACAAAAGTAATCAATAATTAAATTAGAGTAGTTAATAGTTATATGAAAGTAATTATTAAAAATAAATATATTGTTGTCATTTCACAAAATTTTAAAATTTCAAAATAGTACTAGAGGTTTGATTTGAAATTTTGAAATTTACTTACCCTAATTTATTCTTTAACATTTTTAAAGGTATTTTAATGTCTTTTTCCCAACAATAAGTGCACCATCACAGTTTTAAAATTTTCCTTTATATTGTTTTATCACTTCTTTTTTGCGTATCGGTTCAGGGAGTAAAAAGAAAACTTGTTTATTACGCGTGTTTAAATGGACCCAAGAAGTGCAAGTAAGCCGTGCAAAAAATATTAATCTATTGGAATAATTCAACCAAGACTAAGTCTAAATTAGAGCTTTGAAGCCTTACGTGTTATAATAAAGATCTTTCCATGTATGGCAATTGCACAAGTTTTCCATTCTCCGAAAGTTTGTATTTCAATCTCTTTAATCTTCAATCCAAACTCCAACCAACACCCTTCATTTTCCCTCCCTCTCCACCCCAATGAAGCAGCAAGACCGTATTTACACAGTCCCATATCTCCATCTCTTCAATCCTCAATCTCCATATCTTCTTCACTGCTTCTCTGTTTTTCTGCTCTTTGGCTCTGTTTTGCTCATCGGAATCACTCTCTTTATCAATGACTTCTTCCTCAACTTCCACATCCAGCAATTCCTTGGCTTCACTTCACCTCCACCGCCTTCAACAACCAATGTTTCTTCATTAAATCAGACCACAGAAACAAAACCCTGGTCAATAAGTATTCAGAATCAGACTACAGAGACAAAACCCTGGTCAGTAAGTATTCACAATCAGACAGAACCTACCTTAACACAGCATGGAGGATTGAATGATTCCTTGAACGTTCCTCCGAAGGTGATGCATCATATGAGTGATCAAGAGTTGCTACGGACAGCTTCGAGGGTTCCTAGGATTCAGAAAGTTCATTTCAGGCACACCCCTAAAGTTGCATTCATGTTTCTGACGAAAGGTCCTCTTCCATTGGCTCCTCTGTGGCAGAGATTCTTCCAAGGAATCGATCCTGGATTGTATTCTATCTATGTTCATTCCCATCCTTCTTTCAACCAAACACTCCCCAGAACATCTGTCTTCTATGGCCGCTCAATCCCAAGTAAGGTCAGTTCATCTTGCCATGAATCCACTTCGTTTACATTTGATTAATTAGCATGCACTAATCCTGTTTTCTTTTTGTTTCAATTCAAATTAGGACTATTAGAACCCCATTAATAATGTGTGTTCCAATCGCGAACTGTTTGAGTAAAACTGAACAAGTTTCCCTAAGAGTTAAGATTAATGCATAAATAATATATACATACACTAACTTCTTGTTTTCTTCCAATACACTTAAAGTGTAATAGGAATTAATCGGGTCTCCTGATCCCCAGAAGAGCTCATATTATTTGAAGTATTTTTGGGGAGAAGCACCCAATCTCAATTTCATTTAAGCTTTTAGGGATTTCATAGCTTAAATGAGAATGCAAAAGGAAACTACTAATATTTTCATGTTTTGAAAAAGGAAACTGAGCCTCATTCTACGCCTATTTTAGTGGACATTACTCACAAAACGTATTATAAGGGTAGCATGTGAGGTGTGTGATTTGCTTGAACATGGCGATCAACATTTTTTGGGTTTTTGGCTTAAAGAGACTTCTTCTTTTTTTTTAATTAAAAAAAGTCTTTTTCATTGATATTAAATAATAGTTAAATTGCTTTCAAATTTCAACATCCATTATATATTTATCATTCACGTTCTTCTTTCCTTCTCTGTATACTAACTTAAGTAATTGGTAGACAACTACTTGTGCATTTTCTTTTCTTGGGAATCTGAGCATATCCTTCTTCAATAAAGTATTTTGAATCCAGATCCTGCATGTTATAAAAAACCAAATTCTGAGTTGCACCTGTCTGCACGCACCTCGACATAAACTTTTTAATGTGCAAGTTTCTTGCACATGAACTCACGAAGGGTTTGACATTCTATTAAGAATTTTATGGAACATCCTAATTATGAGGTTATCACATATTCATGATTGGTATTTTATTAAGATAATTGTACTTTGGATGTAATTTACAGAACCTTACCTGGGGTCGCCCTTTAGAAGGACAATATGTGTCTCTACATGGGCATATATTTTTCGGTGAACTCTGAAAATTATTTAAAAAAAGCCAGTTTCTTTCTGATTGTTATTGGTCCAACGAACTAGGAAAGAGGGTTTGAATTCCCCATTACTTTTGAGATAAAATTACTACAAAGTTGGTCAACTAAATCTGCATGCAATATTTCCAACGTGGAATATCTCTTCTCTTTTAAGTGTGCTTTTTTTTTTTTGGCCCATATTCTTTGAGGTGTCACTGGAAGTGATTATTTCTAAGGGAAAAGTAACTCTCGCATTAATATCAATTATTATATTAGAAAGGCAAAATTTACATATATCACGAAGTTAAAACGCACGTACACAGAAAGTATTCGACTATAATCATTTGCACAGAAATTCAATGCAACGAACAAAAAAGCATCAAAGCAATGCATTTTTTATACGAAAGATTATGACGTTTAAAACTAAAGATCCATCTCTAACTTATCAACAAGTTGGTTATGGAAGCAATTCGTTCCACATTTTCCTTCGATTCCACTCCTCTTCCAGCTCCTAGGGAATTCCACACTTCCATATTCTAACTTTTCCTAGTTCCTTGCTGCCTACTTTATTGCTCTCTAGAAACAATAATTCTAGATAGAAACAACAAAGAATAAGAATAGCACATGGCAATCTTAAAGAATATACTAAAATGTATTCATGCGGCCCAAGTATGGATAGGCCTCTCTTTTCCTTCTTGGAATTGAACCATGTTTTGTTAATTTCAATCCACATTCAGGAAGTAAGATGGGGGAATATTGACATGATAGAGGCAGAGATACGGCTACTAGCTAATGCCTTGCTTGATTTCTCCAACCAACGTTTTGTTCTGCTCTCAGAGTCATGCATTCCTCTCTTCAACTTCTCCACTATCTACAACTATCTCATGAACTCAACCCAAAACTATGTGCAAGCCTACAATTTGCCAGGCGTAGAGGGAGGACGAGGACGTTACAGTTCCCAGATGAAGCCACTCATTAAGCTTAACCAGTGGCGAAAGGGCTCACAGTGGTTTCAAATCAACAGAGCCCTAGCAATTGACGTAGTCTCCGACAAACAATATTTTCCAGTGTTCAAGCGCTATTGTAAGGCTTTTTGTTGTGGGGATGAGCACTATTTGCCCACTTTTGTTAGCATCAAGTTTTGGAAGACCAACTCGAACAGGACTTTGACTTGGGTTGACTGGTCAAAAGGTGGAATCCACCCATCAAGGTTCATGAGAATGCATATAACCTATGATTTCTTGGAGAGGCTAAGGCATGGAAGCACATGTGAGTACAACGGAAAGACCACTAATATTTGCCATTTGTTTGCAAGGAAATTCATGCCTGACTCTTTGAATAGGCTTCTACGGTTTGCTCCCAAGATAATGCGATTCAATTGATTATTTATTTGAACATACAATACCCTTTTGGATTCAACTTGTTCATTCATATACATACAATGGCTGGGTATATAGTTTGGCGCCTCAGATAGGGCCAGAGAATATTTCTAAAGGGCATGATAGTACAAAATTTTGTACTATTAATACTTCTTGTGATGTACCACAGAATAAGATTAAGAATTATCACACAGGATCCTCTCATATTCTCCTCCTCCAATTTCCTGTCAATCTGGAGAGAGAAAGGGAGAGAAGGAATGTGTCCGATCCATTCTTTGTTACTATCTCCATCGCCTTGGAATTAGCTAGATAGAATAGCCCGATCAGATACTTGGTATTTAATGTTATATACATGAACAACCAGTCAACTGAAGTTTAAATGTCATTTTGATTAGTATAACGTTAGATTGTCCATAACAATCAAATCAGGACATATCTAGTTCTTTGTTTAATACCATCTATATCAATGTGAATGATAGGATGCCAAAATGTTTTTTCTTATCTTTCTCGCTCGTTGTTATTCATACAAGGGGAAAAGAACACTAATTGGAGACAAAAAGCACCCAGAAAAAATGAACGAGTAAACGAAGCAAAGCAGGTCAAACATTATGCAGCAGAACTGGCAACAAAATGACAGTAAAATGAAGACAAAAACACCCAAAAAAATGTGGAGGAGAAATTTAAAAAAAAAAAAGAGAGAGAGCAAAACACACTAGAAATTGTGCGGGTACAATGTGACACCAAAAAGCAATATAATGGAGACAGAAAAAAATATAGACAAGACGAAGAGGATCAGGCATTATGCAGCCAAACTAGACAGACATCAGCAAGACTAACAAGATAGGAGGACCAGAACCAAAAGGAGGCATTGCCTCGAATATCTCATCTCTGTTGTTTATCCAGAAATACTTTTAAAAAATATTTTTTCACGAGTCGAGATAAACTTCTCTAAGTATTTACTTACTTTCATGTATTTATTTACTTCGTATATTATAAAATTACTTTTAAAAAACAACCCCTTAAAATTAGTCAAGAACGATGGGGACAAACCTTTCTCCTCCCCGTATGTTCAGTTTCGCGTCCTTGAGGTGCGGCAGTGCAGTAAACTTCAGGGCTGGGAAGAAGGCAAATTCCCCAAATTCCTGAGCCTATGGCTCTATTGAACGGCGAGTTTCACTTCTCCAGAACCTGTGAGTCTGATACTGTTGCAGAAGCAGACGATTTGGATTTGCAGAGGAAATGGCGACTCATGCGAATGAGGAAGAAGCCAGCACTGGGAGTAGGAGAGAGAGGGAATCTAGGAATTGATTTCATGAGTGGAAGCGGAGCCCGGGGCGCTTCAACTTCTGTTCACCTCCCCTCCCGCCCTCTCCTGGATTTCTCGTTTAGCCCGTTGGAGTAGACTGCGGAATGGAGGCAATGTCACTTTCGTACTTGGGCTTACGGGTCAAGCACATGGACTCGGGCCCTTAAATTTCAGGAACTCATTACATTAATGTGCGTGCCGAATTCTCTGGCCAACGTTTTGCTAAAAGTGTTTAAGAAAAAACATTAAATCACTTTTTAAAAATGATTTTATAAAATTTAAGATAAATATATGAGAAGAATTTTATTTCAGTTTACGTAAAATGTACTTTTTTTAAAAAAAATTTTAAACATCCCAAACACCCCTTTAAATTAATGCATTCTTTTGTTTTACTTTTATACATGTTAGAGCCGAAGTGTTAAAATTAGAAAGAATTATAAAGGATTGTTTGTATGAGACCCACATCATAATTTAAAAAATAATTTTATAAGATATTAAATAAGCATATGAAAGAAATTTTATCTCAATTTATATGAAAATATTTTTTAAAAATATTTTTTAGTTCAACCAAAGACGCGGCTAGTATCGTATTCAAAATTCGTTGACTTGGTCTTGAGACTTGGTCTTTTAAATGGGCCCTTAAATTTCCTTCACAGGAGCTCATTACGTTAATGCACTTGCTGAATGCTCTAGCCAACGTTTTGTTCTTGACTTAATGCATTCTTTTGTTTTACTTCTACATATTCTGTTAGAGGTGAAGTGTTAAAATTAGAAAGAATTATTAGAGTGTTTGGATGAAACCAAATTATGGTTTTAAAAATAATTTTACGGAATACAAAATGAATATGTGAGAAGAATTTTATTTTGATTGGTATGAAAGTATTTTTTAAAAGTGTTTTTTAATTCGGCCAAACACCCATCTTTTTCAAAATTTGTTAAAAAGTGTTTTTTAGTTCAGCCAATCACCCTTCTTTTTCAAAATTCGTTGACTTGGTCTTGAGACTTATTGACATGCCAATAAACTCACTGGTCACCAACCTATTGATGTAACGCTTGCTCCTAAAATGTGTGTGCATGACACGAAGCCTCTATTAGTTAATTTGTTATCATTGTTATTGACGCTACCGATCACTATTAATAAATTGCCAAGAGCTAATGGCACAAAAGACCATGTCATTATTAATAGAGCCGCTAGTCTAAGTGAAATTTCCTGGAACTTTGTACATGTTAAAACCAAAATTACAGATCATACCTCAGTGATATTATATTCTTTTTCATAGTTCAATTATATGCCAAATCTGATGGCAACAAAAAAAAAAAAAAGGTATATGCCAAATCACATATACTGGCAACCCAAGAATATTTTCTTCCAAATATACATGTTCATCATATATTCCTAGATTGCGTCAAATTTGTTACAACGTTGCTCAGTGTTACTCATTGTTATTTCATTCTTATTGTCCAGAGTCCAGACTATTTCAACCTCCTTTTGCACTCATCGTTTCATCACGTTTGCAGAAATCCAAACAGTCTTGTGTGTTGAAAAGATTATTCTTTTTCAGTGAAAAGTAATATTCTTTCTTTCTTTTTTCTTTTTTAAATAACTTAGAGTATTCTCAAGCAATTTTGAATTTGAGATTAATATCTGTTAAATGAGCATTAGCGTTAAAATCCCCCAACAAGTACACTTTTTAAAATTTAGGCTTATGTTTTCCTCTTCACATAAATAAGATCACTTACCATCTCAATCAATAATTTGTTGCTACAAAAATGCTGTACAAAGACAGGACTAATTTAATATTAAAAAGAACCAGCTCGTGATAAAAAATAAAAAAAGAAAGAGCATCTTTTAGATCAACACATCAACGGAAATTGCATAGGAAGAGTTGGTTTAGATTTTTCATTGACTTATTTATTAACTAAACTTGTCATTATTGCCGGTGCATTTTAGTGCACATATAAAATTTCTGTGTTCCACACGAGCCTTGCGTATATACGAATATAATCAATCAATCATGACTATACTACATAGTTCTACTAACCAATAACGAAATTTTCGTATTATATACGTACGACAATGTCTGGGCATTATATTGGCCTCTGAATTTGACAAACATATATAATAAACGGTTGCTTAACCATCGGCTCCTTTTTAGATTTTTCTGTGTCTCTTCATTTTGGATGTTTGTTCCCTTACTTCTCCTGAAAAATGATAGCCCAAATAATCGGATCGTATCGAACCATTTGTCACCATTTGCTTAGGCGCTTTCAATACACATTTCACAAAACAGTGTTTATAACGAGCAAGAAACAGCGTTTAACTTTTTTGGTCGTCTCCAAATTTGTTTTATTTTAATTGCTTTTTTTTTTGGTCGTTGAATCATTATCTTTCAATTTGTGTCATATTGTTGGTCCTCTGGTCTAACTTTCTTTAATATTTCAAACCAACACCATTAACTTTCTTAATGTTAGAAAATAACACTGAATATTCCCTAGAGACAACCATAGAATTAGCTATGATCAGTATTTATTATTTACTAATAATTTATTTTGTTTGCATGTTGGTCTCTAGTTCCTGTCAAGAAGAATAAGACCGAGTTATTATTAATAGATCACAGTCAAGCGTGAAAATTTCTAAGAACTTGATCACAAAGCACAAAGTTACAGATCAGATTCCAGTAATATTCTATTGTCAGTTAAAGTGTGTGTATACACGCTGTCTCTGGTAATTAATATCCCTCTTGTAGTTCTAGATATAAGATCTTTTTTGTAGTGTAAATTATACTACAAAAGAGGTTTTATATTTAGATTAGAGGAATATAAGGCTAAAATATACATTTAGTCATTTAGTTTTATACAAGGTTGCAGTTGGTCTCTTAACTTTAAAAAGTATACTTTTGGTTTTTAACTTCAAAATTGATGGTTTTAAATGATGATTTTTTATAACAATCATAGTTCTTTTGAATATTAAACTTAATATGTTATCATTTCGTAATGTTTTATTAGCATCTAAGAGCTCAATATTATTATTTTTTGTTAACAATTTTAGGGTTAAAGGACTAAAATTTTACTTTTTAAAATTAAAGGATTAAAATAAAACCTTATGTAAAATTGAAGGACTAAAAATATACTTCATCCTTAATATAAAAGCTCATTAACTAATTTAAGTAGATTAAAAAAATTAATTAAGTTAGTTGTTTGTAATAAATATGTATTTTTTCCTAAAATACCCTTGCTAATAATGTATATTAGCTACGAAAACTACTACAGAAAAAATAGATAAATATAAAAAATAAAATAAATTAAAATCTTATATTTAAGATTAATTTAAAAGTCAAACTAACTAATAAGTGTATTAAATTAAAATCAAACGTACAGGAGAATAAGAGAGTGAGAATTCGAGTATAGTAAACATTACGAAGAAACTGCTGGGGTGTTTCACGTGAGCTTCATAAATGGCTTTAAATAATGGGAAACCTGAGCATTGAGTGTGGAAAACTCCACATTGTTGAGCAGGGACATATGGGTAGGTGGGATCTTCCATTTTCGGGGAAACTACTTTAACTTTAATTGTGTGCCACACAAAACGACATTATAATATTATTACGTCCAAAAAGAGACGAACCAGATAGCAAAAACAAACACGACATTATAATATTATTTCTACTTCCGGTCTTTAATATAAGTCCTATTTAATTTTTATATTGGTTCTAAATATAAGATCCCAATTCACTTTGTCTTTCATATTTATACATTTTTTTTCAAAATAGTTCTTATAATAATGATTGTTCTAGTCAATACACTTGATTAGTAAAAATATTTTAAGAAAGATAATATTTATTTAGGACAAATAACTAATTCAATTTACTTCTTTAATATTAGATAATACCTATTTAGGACAAATAACTAACTCAATTTACTTGTTTAATATCCTTAAATTAGTTAACTGGTTCTTATAATTAGAACTGGAAGTAGTATGTCCAAAAAGAGACGACCCAGATAGCAAATACAAACACGGGACGTGTTAATCACCGCGTCCTCCCTGTTCTCAGTCTTTCCCATTATTCAATAACTCCAACTTCGCAGTCAAGATTACTAAAACGAAGCCTATTCAATATAATTAATACTATAAATCACCCTTAGCATGGCATAACTAAGAAAAGTTTTTTTAAGTCTTAATAATTCCATTTTAAAATTTAATAACTTTCAAACCATACAATTTACTGAACAATAAATAAAAGTCTAATTAACATTATAACTTATAAATAGGACAAAGCATCTTTTTTTCTGACTTCTAAATGGTAAATCGAATGATGGGAGTAATCCTTCGGGCCATTTCAAAATGTAAGAGATAATCAAAATATTTTTTTTATCTTAATATAAGATTTCAATATATTTTGTTTATCAATTTTATAAAAAATTTTCCCAAATTATCTCTATTAATTACATATATTAAAAGGGTTTTCATCATCAACAAACTTCTTTAATATTTAAAAATTAATTATCTGATTTTTATATTAGATTAATATGTAAATTTGTCCTGAAAGTTTTTATGCAGGAACGTTAGGTATTTAAAAGTTTTTTTTCGTTGTCCCGGGAGTTTTAAATCTTAGCATTATTATCTCATACAATTAAAAATATTAATGGATAATGTTAGTTTTTTACAACAAGAGATAATATTATTATAATTTTAAATTTTCAAGACAAATTTACTCCTTAAAAAAACTTTCAGATACTTAAAAGCTTTTTTGAGTGAAATTTTTTAAAATCAACTTGCACTGCACCTGGTCTTTTTTATATTTATAAAACCGCATGACAAGTCTCATCCCTTCCCCTTGTTTGTTGGCCGGGTTTTAAAAGCGCATGTTGGCCGGCTTTAGACGCGTGCCACGTGGATCTGTTTGGGAGTTGAAGCTGAGAGTGTGCCACGCAGTGTTATTGTCAGGGACATAGGAAATATCTCCCGAGCTTCCATTTTCAATTGGCTTTTATCGGACATATTGCCTGTTTTTTGACCCTATTCTCCCCCACAACATTGGCTTATTAGGCTTTACTTTTCCCCTTTTTTGCTATTATCAAGAACACGGCCATTTAAGTGAGAAGAGCCATTGTATGCCCAGTTGATCATTAATTGAAAATTATCTTAGCCAGATAAGCCTGATTTTATTTGTGCTGATCCATGCCTTTTTTTCTCTCGAAGTAGAGTATCATCTGTGGATGCGTTTTATTTTTAGTTATTTAATTATAAATATCTGATATTAAAAGTTATTGGAGAAATAGGAGAGGGTGTGATAATAGAAGAAAGTCCCTATCAATTATCAAATATAGCGCCCCTTAACTTGGTAATATATATTGTAAGCAGACAAGGCTTTACCTTTTTCTAAGTTGAAAAGAGCACTAGAAGATATTAAAGACCAATAATTTAATAAACATAGCAAGAGGTAATTCTAGTTGAGTATCTTGTTTGCCATTGTACTACATCACTTTCAGCTCCAATAATTAAATTACATAAATGAATAAATACATTAAATACATGACTTTGAAGCGCCAAACACGGACTCGATCCTTCCTGGAAGCACATGACTTGACCAAAATCTATATGACGAGAGAGCATCCAACCGCGTGCATTTGATAAAATTAAAACGGTGAACAAGTAAAATTATGAACTTCCACATTAATCATACTATTAGCTAGGGATGACTTTTGGCCATAAAATAATTTTTTTTAATTTACTCAATTTATCATTTTTTTAAATTAATTTATCTATTTTGTAAAACTTGATAAATAATCTAATGTCATAATTAAGTAATTTATTTAGTTTTTTGATCTAAATTACATAAATAGCATTTTCGCTTAAATACATAATCACGTGCATTCCTTTTTCGCTTCGATCATTATATTCATCAAATCTGACTCCAACGTTTGGATTCTTGGTTTGATTTGGTTCTGGTGGGAATGAAGCTGTTCGTACGATTCAACACTCTGGTTTGAATTTCAAAGGAACCAAAGGTTTGATATATTCAAGCAAACTTAGACTCGATATTGAACCGTTGGATTTTCTTTTATGTTGGGCCAAAATTTCAACCATCAGATTAGATTGAAGCCACCAAATAATTATCAAGTGTCGCATCTTTGCAACACTTGTTTGGCCATTCCAACTCGCGGGTAATAGTTTTTCAGATTGCCCTTAAATTATATATGCCCCATTAAACCTGAATCTTATTTTTTGTGGCCCCCAGAGCCTGTAGGTCCTACCGTCTCCAGATCAGCAGGCCAAATGTGTGAAAAGTGTAAACAATAAGAGAGAGAGAGAGAGGAGGCGGAGGGTTGACTTTGAGGGGCTTTTGACGTCAAAGTCTTTACATCATACAAACGCATCTTCGCCACAACGCTGCCTCTGCAATCTGCCTGGTGGTTTCCACCAACATTCCAAGAAGCTTCTGATCATTTTTCTTTTTCTGATATCTTAAATATTTAATTTAATTTCTACAGTGATCCAGTAGCGTATATATAAAAGCAACAAACCCTCCTCTTGAGAGCAACCTTGCACCATCCCCTCCTTTTCTCTCTGACTATACTGAATCTCTTCCTCCTGAATCATTCCCGAAAATGGCCGCCAAAAGGTTTTTCAATGATTCTGGTCCAGACCCAGACAACCGAAGCGATAAACGCATGAGACCCACTCGACCTTCTTTTGCTTCGTATGTGCACCGCCCCTTCGATCGTCTCCGTTCAATTTAGTTTCAAAGCCTATCTGGTTCTGAATTCTGATGATTAATTCTATATATTTGACAGGATCATAGGAGAAGTGGTTATGGTGAAGAACATGCACAACCTTTTCTCTGCCTTGGAGCCTTTGCTCAGAAGAGTCGTAAGTCATCAACCATTCATCTTCCGTTCAAGAGCTTATCAGAGTCGGATGATTTGGCATTCAAGTTAATTACAATTATTATTGTTGTTAATTAGGTTACTGAAGAGGTTGAAAGAGCTATGAGGCATTGTTGCCCACGTTCGTTGACTCGGTCTCCTTCTCTGCGAATCGAAGCATTTGAACAGCCACAAGCATCAGGCTATCAACTAATGTTCAGCAACAAGCTTTCTCTTCCAATATTCACGGGAACCAGGATTCTGGACATTGATGGCCAAAATATCCAAGTGATGCTTGTTCAGAAGAACGGTGACCAAATGGTTCGGACCAGTCTTCCCCAACCTATTAAGCTGGAACTTGTGGTTCTCGACGGAGATTTCCCCGCAGCCGACAAGGAGGCATGGACCACCGAGGAGTTCGATAAGAACATACTGAAGGAGAGAACCGGGAAACGGCCTTTGCTCACCGGAGAATTGAACCTCACCATGAGGGACGGGATTGCACCCACCTGTGATATTGAGTTCACCGATAATTCTAGCTGGATCAGAAGCCGCAAGTTCCGGGTCGCCGTCAGAGTTGCTCCGGGGAGTAACCTCGGTGTTCGGATTCGTGAAGGCATGACGGAGGCCTTTGTTGTGAAGGATCATCGTGGAGAACGTAAGTATTATGTTTTCTTACTTCAATCAAATTGATAATTAACTACTTGCGATTTTTCTTAACACAGTTTTGATTTGCTATCTGCAAGCCAAAGCCATAACTTAGCGGGTTTCCAATTTAAGCATCTTGGTCTTGCATATATATTTACATTGTCATATATTTCGTGCCCGAGCCTGATTAAGCTTTGACCTGTTAGCATCGTTAACAAGAATATTATTATATCAGTCATTTGGTTCACAAGTGTCATTTGTTTATAATTTAATTCAGGTTGTTGATAATCATATATAGGGGGAGAAATACATAGCCAGTTCTTGAATCAACCTCTTGTTTTATATATACTATTATACATAGAGCTGGTCAAGAGGAAATTTCATTAGATATTTCACACACACCCACAAAATTTTCTGACTGACCCACATATCACTCGAGTTGCACGCGTGAGAAAAGCAGACAATGATAAAGAGAATGAAAGGACGTGGAACTTTACTGGAATTTGGCATGATTTGAACATCATCTCTGTATAGGTTAGGCTACAGATACACAGACATATATTCGACTTTAACGAGAACAATATTCTAATAAAATACTATTTATACTATCTTCCAAAAACAAAATGCCTAGTTTGGCATAGTTTTGGGAGAAGCTCGATTTATATATATATATAAATATATAGATAATATTTCATATTTTTATACAATAATAAATAAATTCTTACAAAAAAAAAATATTGAGGGACAGGGTTCAAATTCAAAGATTCAAATTATATATATTCATTTGTAAAATAATCTCCCTCGCTCTCTCTCTCTCTCTATATATATATATATATATTTATATCCACTACGTCGTAGAGAGGGAGAGAGCACTGGACAAGTCCAGATTGTATATTATACTGGACATCCCTACCTTTCATCCTTTCCAGCAAGGTAGATGGTTGTCTGCATTTTGGCTTTTCTTTCTTTATATTTTTCCTCTTAATATATTCCGAATTATCCTTTAAAGAAAAACTAGATGGCTAGAAAAAAAGAAAGCGACTGTTAATCTGCTGGTCAAAAAGAAAAACACAGCTCATTAAGCTTATTAATTAGGAGCTTACAGCCGGCAACACTGCATATGCTCATGGTCCCACCAGAGCAACCTTTTTTTCACACACACACACACGCATATGTATTTACAGTTACAGAAAACCATGAACTTTATATTCAGCTATAGATTGATTAACAATACAATGATGAAATTAACGTAAGTTGAATATGAATGTGAAGTGTACAAGAAACATCACCCACCAATGTTGAACGATGAAGTGTGGCGTCTGGAGAAGATTGGTAAAGACGGAGCTTTTCACAAGAAGTTGTCGTCGGAGAGTGTTAACACCGTCCAGGACTTCCTCAAGCTCTTCATCGTCGATCCTCACAAACTCAGAAAGGTAAGAATAATTCCCAATTAATCATCTTGATTTATTATATAAATAAATAAATATTTGTAGGGGCATCATGGGAATTTACTTATTTCTCATTCCTGTGGAATAATTGCAGATTCTAGGGATAGGGATGTCCGAGAAGATGTGGGAAGTGACTGTGAAGCACGCCAAGACGTGTGTAATGGGGACCAAAGTCTACATGTACCGTGGGTCCCACTTCGCCCTCTATCTGAATCCCATCTGCCAGCTCATTAAAGCTGAAATGAACGGCCACACTTTCCACGGCAAGGACATCAGCACCAACATTAATAGGGTATGCTCCATATCCATCCATCCACCCGTCCTAATTAATTTCTGGTGGAGCCCCGGGGCACCCAAAAAAAAAAAAAAAATCATTTTTTTAATATATTTTTTTTCTGGATGATTCGATCTATTAATTACTTATGAGAAGAATGTCACGAATTTGCAGACCTACATAGAGAAACTGGTGAAGGAGGCATATGCGAAGTGGAATTGCTTGGAAGAAATTGACCAACTTATGGGGAGTAACATGGCTCTACTAACCCAAGGTTGGTTATTAAGTTGGTTTTAATTATTAATTGCTGATTTCTCTAATGCATTGCAGAAAGGGAGTCTGACGACCAATTTACTGCTATGTGAGTACAGGGGACAGCATGGAGCAAATGCCAAACAACAGCATCAGCAACAATGAAGCAATATCATTTGGTAATGAGATGGACTTCTTGGGAGATAGCTACGCAACAAACAATGCGGAAATTGTAGGAAGTGGTGAGTGGGGACTGAATAATCCAGTATTCTCAACAGCATCGTACGTAAATGCCATGACTTATAACTTCTCCGAGACACAATCAGATGGGAATATAACGCCCTCTGCTTCTCTCATGGACGGTTCTGCAACTCCCAGATGGCCTTGACCATTATTCTGTACATATATAGGACTCTATAACTTACAGCATCAGGTAAATTAGGTTTTAGTGCAGTGCCAAGTGTTTCAGCCCTACAAAATGTGTTTGCTAAGCATCACGGTGCTTAGATTGGGCTTTGTTATGTTAGTCTGTAGGGAGTAGTTGTTAGGTAGGTGGAGGCAGGCCCATTTTTAAGAAGGTGTTGTGGATGATGGGCAGGGCCTCTCCTTCCCAATGGTCAACCTTGCCCTTAATGGGTCAGTGTTGCTGTGTTTATTCAATGTTTCCCAAGTCACAGACTTCTGCAACGTGATGTTTCATTTCTTCTTGTATTCGTTTTGGGCGTGGTTTCCCGTGATATTGATCTCCGTTCAGTTCGAGTTTCGACTTTATACTGCTATTACCAAAATCTAACCAAGTAACCGTGGATTGTTTAGTACAAAAATTGATGTCAAGTTCACAAAAAGGTAAGTTAGATGAAGAGGTCCCCCCAAAAAAGGGATTCGGTTCGTCTAAAAGTTGTTAAAATAGAGCTTCTTTAATGTGTCGAGAGTTAAATCTAAATCCTCAGCTTCATAGACGTAATAGAAAAGCTTTGCATTGACATGTTATTTAATATGAAACCAAACATGCTTAAAATCGTAAAACTGATCGTAGTAGAAATCGATAACCAAGGTATTATACTGGAAAAAAAACGCAATTCCCAGCTCTCACACAACTTCATGCAACGTTACAAATGGAGCCTCTCCAAAACAGTGATCGTAAATTAAATGGACATGATTTTCAACGGTTATATGGTTCAATTCACATAGGAATCTGAGTCATAAAGCTCAGTACATAAAGAAGTTGCCCAGCAAAGGAAATGGTGAATGACAGAAGGACGAACAAGCAAAAGAGAAGCAGAGGAGGTCGACTCAGATGGCAGATATCTTAATCATTTCACACCTCTCAACCTAAGATGAGTACATCATCATTTGTTCTACCATTTCTGGAACGTATGGACATCAAGACTTGAGATAAATGAAGAAATTTTGAGGATTTTGCCTCCATTACAATATCATTCCACAAAGTTCCTTGTCCCTCAGCCAGGGGGACTTAATTTGGCCACAAGTCTATCTTGTCTCTTCAATAGCATGAATTATCATAAGCATTTCACAAGACTCATATTTGCCATCTTCTTGCCAACAACAAGAGAAACGTTTCCTCATGCCGACACTAGCAAGCTTTCTTCTTCCTCTGTTTTCCTTCTTCATCCATACTGCCTCTGCTAGCAATTCCACTTCATCCTTCACAGTCTGTCCCGCCTACAGCTTTGCCCATCGGATCCAAGCCGGATACCCTTTCTGGCTATCACATGGTTCCATTCCTGACCAGTATTGTGGTTACCAAGAATTCGGCCACATCTGCGATGATGGCTATCCCGTCTACTCTTCACTTATCGTTTCACGAACATAGACTGTGATAATCATTCCCTTCACCTCGTTGATTTTGATACCTTCTACCAAACATGTCTGGGGGCAGTTCACAAAGTTCTGTTGGGCAACTTACTCCATCCTCGCTTCCGTTTGAATTTGAAAGTTAGGTCTTGTTACAATTCTAGTTCTCACCTCTCTTATGCGTCGCCCATAACGGGCTTTTCATCTGTGGTGGGGAACGAGAGTGGGGGTTTTGATTGGTCTAGGAATTCTGAAGAGAGCGTCACGGAGATAAATTTGAAGGGCCATGTTACAAGTGAAGGATTGACGAATGAGCATAAAGAAGAGGCCATGAATGAATGTTTTGTGCTTAACCGGCAAAGCGTTTATGATGAGTGCGAGGATTCTGAAGGGTTGCGTGGCTACAATAATGCTGAAAATGAGCTCATGTGTTTCTGCAAGGATGGCAGCGGACAAAGCAATGGCTGCTCAGGTATGTTAGCAATAAGCGGGATCATATATTCATTGAAAAGGTGCGGCCGCAATCTCTTGCAACAGAACATGTGGCTCTTTCGTTCTTGATGGCAGTCTGAAGCATACTAACTAGTTGGTGGAATGCATACATTGCGAGAAACCTGTACATAAAAAATTGGACTGCAATGGTTTGACTCTATATATTTATTAATTAGATGTATGGAAAGATATTAATAAAACGTGCTTCATTACTCTTTACATTATCCCTACATTTGTCAGTAACTACGTGTTGACTTTTTAGGTCTCTAATCCTTGTAATTCACACGATTTCACTCATTCGTGTTTTGTTAATGAAATATATGCTTTTCTTTGTTTATGACAGGGAGATGCATGTGAATATCGTCAGCATCATTGGTTTTTGTCTTGAAGGCAGCAAAAAAGCAGTCGCGTATGAACTTATGCCCAATGGTTCACTTGAAAAGTTCATATGCAAGAGGGATTTAGAGCCAAATTGCAAATTGCAAAAAAGATAGCTGACTTAAGTTGGGAAAGATTACTCCAAATTGCAAAAAAGATAGTTGACTTGAGTATTTGCATAGTGGTTGCAACACTCGGATTCTGCATTTTTATTTTGACATAGAACCTAACAATATCTTTTTGGATAAAAACTTTTGCCCAAAGATCTCAGATTTTGAGCTAGTTAAATTTTGTTCTAGAACACATAGTACCATCTCAATGCTTGGTGCAAGGGGTACTGCTGAGTATATTGCTCCAGAAATATGGAATAGGAACTTTGGAGGAGTCTCCCACAAGTCAGACGTGCATAGCTATGGAATGTTGACTTTAAAAAGGGTTGGAAGAAGACAAGATATAAATGGAGAAGCGAGTGATTCAAGTGATCGATATTTTCCTCATTTGGTATACAAGCAAATTGCATCAGACAAGAATATTGCAGAACATGATTATATGACTAGAAAGGAAAGTGAAATTGCAAAGAAGATGATGGTGGTGGGATTATGGTGCGTACAGGCAATGCCATCAGATAGAACTTCCATGAATATAGTGATTGCTCTCAATTCCACCAAAGCCTTCCATATTTTCTCCTGTAACAGCAAGAAATGAAGAGGAAAATTGTGCTTCACATTATTCTGTTTTTGTTTGATTAGTTGATCTGTAGATGGTAGCAGATAGTTGTGTTATAGACACCTTAGCTTGCTAATCTCTGTATATATAGTGATGAATAATGTGCCAGTCCTTTTTCCCAGTTTTGCGTCTCTGTACCACGTTAATGCAAATGTACAGCGACTAAGAATACTTCATGTCATCTGAATAAATGATGAAATAATTTAAAATCAAATTATTTGATTAAGTATCAACACTTCAACAAGTGTTTTTCTTTTTTCTTTTCTTTTTTTTTGGTTGGCGTGGTTTCCTTTCATAATGATGTTCGTTCAGTTTGATTTTCAACTTTAAACTGCTATTAGTAAAATCCAGCCCAGTAATTGCGGATTGTTCAGGACATAAATCGATGTGAAATTCACTGAAACGTAGAGTGAAAAAAACATTAACACCCACAACTTGAATTTAATAAAAATAAAAATAAAAATTTTCCTGAGAGAGAGAATAATTGAGGTGTGAAAGGGTTTTGTTGAATTTTATATTATTTTTTAAATCGTAAATGTGACTTTTCGGTGGCGGTGTTTCTTTTAGTAAAACAAAATTGATTTTATAAAAACATTTTTGGATGAAAAAGGGTAGCGTTGTCTTTTGCCCGTGAGATTGAACGAAAAGAATTGCGGGGGGGGACCCTTTCAATGATCATTGATATTGAAAGTAGCTTGATCAACAAGTTTGAACAACAAAAATAAATTAATAGGTGAGTATATCTTAGAGGTCCTTGTATGACAGGGTGTTTAGATAGAAACCAAATTATGGTTTCAAAAGTATTTTTTATAATTTACCAAATATATATGTAGAAGAGTTTGTCTCATTTTATAAAAAAGTGCTTTTTAGAAACACTTTTAAAAGTTGTCAAATACTCTTAATTGTAACAAGTTGATGGTTTTGCTTGAAAAGTTACTGCCATTACTAAAATTACATCAATGCTATGGCTTTGGATAATCATCTGCTCTAGATTAGATTTGGATATTCTCAATCTTAATATTTTCATTATTTAAAAAAGATTTCTTGAAACAATATAAATGAAACATAAATTCTACACATCCAATTATGCTGGCAACTTGGGATCCAGTGAGAGCTAAAAAAGGGACCGGGTCGGTCTTATAGGGCCGAAATTTTAAAACTACCCTAGTTCACTAGGCCCGACTCTTAAGTAGACAGGCTCAGGGCTGGCTTGTGAGTTTTGGGCCCGTTTAAAAAAACTATTTTTTTATATATTTTTCACATGTTTATGAAAAAATGAAAATAAACCAATAAAATTACTAGTAAAAGATATTAATATGAATAAAATTAATTCATAAATATAAAAGATCATTATATATAAATGTCTATCAACATACAAAAAATTTAAAACATTCATTAGACATAACAAGTCAATAGCATTAAGTATTAACATCCAAAAGTTTCATTAAAAGTAGATAAATATTTTCACTAAAAAAAGTGGATAAACACTATCATATCTATCTTCAATTGTAAGAATATTTGATTGTGCTTTATGTAACATCCTAAATATTATTATAAAAAAAAATTTAAATTATTATTTAAAAAAAATTAAATAATGTAAAATAATATTTTTTATTATTAAATAATAATATTTTATTAATATTTTTTTAAAAAAAATTGACCCAGCTTTCCACCGACTTTCGGTGGAAAAGCTGGGGGGTTATTAAGAGGGAGAAGAATCATGGGGGAAGACCATTGATGGAAGGAAGAATTTGAAGCTAGAAATTAAAGAGGGAGGAGGAAAATGGGGAAGTATAATAAATGAGAGAAGAAAATTGAGGAAGGATGGTTGGCATGTTAAAGGATAAATAGAGGAGGGAGTGTTACGTAGAATAGAGAAAGAGAGGGTGAGAGACGCAGGAAGAAAAAGAACAAGAGAGTGAGTGAAGATTTCTGCAAGTACGTGCTAGCATTTGGGGATCATTTAGGTACATAAAAACACTTCTTTCTATTAGATTTCTTTTATGAATATTTTCTATATATTTAAAACTTTATATTAGTAGTATTACTACAATGTTTAGAGAAAATTTTATGAGCTGGGTACAAAGTAAGTAATGATTTTTGACAATATATGATTGTAGAAATTTAGAGATAAATAAGTAGTTAATTTTAACCGGTTTAGATTTGTCTATTTATTATCTATGGTATTTAAAATTAAATTTATTTGTTGAAAAATTTGTCATTTATGATATATATCATATTTATACCGATTAAAAATAGGTTAAATAATTTATTTGGGTTGTTTGATATATTATTAAAATTTTAATCTGTTTATATTTGTTTATTGATTGTTTTGAGAATTTTAAACTAAGA